AGTCTCCAGATATTCTGCAGATATCTGTAAATTGAAGCTGTAACCCTTTGATATAAATAAACCTTTATAATCAAAGTACAGTGTCAGCGGAATTCTTGGTCTCGCAGCATAATTAGCAACGTTTTCTCGACACCACACTAGCAAGCAAGGGATAATAAAATTGACAGCAAGTATGGCAATGGAACACTTAGAACAAACGACCATAGATACAGAACAAAAAGACTGAACGACTGGGTCGCGTCTCTAGCAACTGAACCAATAGAACGAACGACCAGCCGGCTTGGGTAGCAACCCTAGATTTGTATCGGGACTATATCTTGTGGAAGGATGAAATAGTATGAATAAATTAATCAAAATAACGTTTTTAAGGAAAATATGTCAATCATCATTTTAAGATGTTGGTAACCCCATTGTATAAAAGTGATAATGCCCTCGAAGCCGGTGTTTGGAGGATATATTGGCACAGTTTGGTGTTGACTATGAACTTTACTTAGCTAGCTACCTATGCTTTGTGGAAGATTGTGGGATATAAGCTATCGTCAACATTGAGTTGTTACTGGCTAGCTAGTTGGCTAGCTAACTGGCTATAGCAGGCAAGGACGTTCGCTAGCTCATTTGTTTGTTTACACAGATGATTTATAAAACCTTCCTTGGCAAAATATAGCTAGCTAGCTTTCCTCACTTGTTGGTTAGCTAGCTAGCGAATGTTAGCTCTCATCTGACTGGTAACATATTCATCTGTGGTATTAGTTAGCTAATGTTACAGCTGCTGGCTAGCTAGCTACCTTAACGTTAGCTAATCAAAACAAATCTACATTTAGCTCACTAATAACAACCAACCCATTTTTCATGCTGGACAATTATCTGTATGGATTTATTGGTTAACCTCAGCTTGAGTACCAACATGTAGCTATCTATCTATAGTAGCCTAGGTTTGTCTTCAGCATCTTCTTATCATGGCTGGCTGCTGCAGGCTGCCAGCTGTTAGTATTGTTGAGTTGCTGAGCAACCGAGTTTTTGGCCCGGTTTGTTAGAACTCTGAGATTCGGCTGAAAAAAAGATGTTAGCATTGTCAGAAATGCTACAAAAAGATAGCACATCGTTGTATCTTAATGGGCGGAAATGTGCACGTGAGAGCGATAAATTATGAATGTAATAAAAACTGTTGTACCACGAACTTTGTCAGTCCAATGGTAACTTTATGGAGCTATAGTCTCGCTTTAATCCGACGTCTAGAATTTGAGCTAGGTAGCCGCAAGAAATACTCTTAACTCAATTGCTAACGATCCTGTTAAAAAATCCGGTATGTGGTTCTCAGTAACCGACAGACGGCTCATGACGAGAGTGTGTTGGGTACCTCCAATGAAATTGATTTGCAAATTTTCATCGAGATTGGTGTCATATTGGCTTAGATATGTTGGTAGGGAGATTTGAATTTAACACTGAGTTTCAACCAATGCCTACTGTATATAACCTTGTCTATAATAATAGAACCTTAGTCAGACAATCACACTCTACGATGGTAGATGGTCAGATGCTACAGTACCCAGGGTAGTCAGTCCAACAGTAGATGGTGTTACAGTACTCAGGGTAGTCAGTCCAACAGTAGGTGGTGCTACAGTACCCAGGGTAGTCAGTCCAACAGTAGATGGTGTTACAGTACCCAGGGTAGTCAGTCCAACAGTAGATGGTCATACAGTACTCAGGGTAGTCAGTCCAACAGTAGATGGTCATACAGTACTCAGGGTAGTCAGTCCAACAGTAGATGGTCATACAGTACCCAGGGTAGTCAGTCCAACAGTAGATGGTCCTACAGTACCCAGGGTAGTCAGTCCAACAGTAGATGGTCCTACAGTACCCAGGGTAGTCAGTCTAACAGTAGATGGTGCTACAGTACCCAGGGTAGTCAGTCCAACAGTAGATGGTGTTACAGTACCCAGGGTAGTCAGTCCAACAGTAGATGGTGTTACAGTATCCAGGGTAGTCAGTCCAACAGTAGATGGTCCTCCAGTACCCAGGGTAGTCAGTCCAACAGTAGATGGTCCTACAGTACCCAGGGTAGTCAGTCCAACAGTAGATGGTCCTACAGTACCCAGGGTAGTCAGTCCAACAGTAGATGGTCTACAGTACCCAGGGTAGTCAGTCCAACAGTAGATGGTCCTACAGTACCCAGGGTAGTCAGTCCAACAGTAGATGGTCTACAAGTACCCCAGGGTAGTCAGTCCAACAGTAGATGGTGCTACAGTACCCAGGGTAGTCAGTCCCAACAGTAGATGGTCCTACAGTACCAGGGTAGTCAGTCCAACAGTAGATGTGCTACAGTACCCAGGGTAGTCAGTCCAACAGTAGATGGTGCTACAGTACCAGGGTAGTCAGTCAACAGTAGATGGTCCTACAGTACTCAGGGTAGTCAGTCCAACAGTAGATGGTCATACAGTACTCAGGGTAGTCAGTCCAACAGTAGGTGGTGTTACAGTACCCAGGGTAGTCAGTCCAACAGTAGATGGTCATACAGTACTCAGGGTAGTCGTCCACAGTAGGTGGGTCTACAGTACCAGGTAGTCAGTCCAACAGTAGATGGTCCTACAGTACCCAGGGGTAGTACAGTCCAACAGAGCTGGTTCCTCCAGTACCCAGGGTAGTCAGTCCAACAGTAGATGGTCCTACAGTACCCAGGGTAGTCAGTCCAACAGTAGATGGTCCTACAGTACTCAGGGTAGTCAGTCTATAGCTGCTCCAGTTTGTTAAGAATTCAAGTCAATCACAGTGCAGCATTATTTACAGCTTTAAACCAATCAGAGGTTATCATAATTAAATTAAGCGAAAACCACAGGGCTTGTTGCGGCTTGGTTGAGGACCTTAGGTTTTTTGGCAATGAGGCCCTTTATCTACAGTCGTGGTCAAAAGTTTTGAGAATTACATTTTAGTCATTTAGCAGACGCTCTTATCCAGAGCGACTTACAGTTAGTGAATACATTTTTTTTTTATACTGGCCCCCCGTGGGAATCGAACCCACAACCCTGGCGTTGCAAACGCCATGCTCTATCAACTGAGCTACATCCCTGCCGGCCATTCCCTCCCCTACCCTGGACGACGCTGGGCCAATTGTGCGCCGCCCATGAGTCTCCCGGTCGCGGCCGGCTGCGACAGAGCCTGGATTCGAACTAGGATCTAGTGGCACGGTTAGCACTGCGATGCAGTGCCTTAGACCACTGCGCCACTCAGGAGAATGACACAAGTATTGGTCTTCACAAAGTTCGCTGCTTCAGTGTTTTTAGATATTTTTGTCAGATGTTACTATGGTTTACTGAAGTATAATTACAAGCATTCCATAAGTGTCAAAGGCTTTTATTGACAATAACATTAAAGTTTATGCAAAGAGTCAATATTTGCAGTGTTGACCCTTCTTTTTCAAGACCTCTGCAATCCGCCCTGGCATGCTGTCAATTAACTTCTGGGCCACATCCTGACTGATGGCAGCCCATTCTTGCATAATCAATGCTTGGAGTTTGTCAGAATTTGTGGGTTTTTGTTTGTCCACCCGCCTCTTGAGGATCGACCACAAGTTCTTAATGGGATTAAGGTCTGGGGAGTTTCCTGGCCATGGACCCAAAATGTCGATGTTTTGTTCCCCGAGCCACTTAGTTATCACTTTTGCCTTGCAAGGTGCTCCATCATGCTGGAAAAGGCATTGGTCATCACCAAACTGTTCTTGGATGGTTGGGAGAAGTTGCTCTCGGAGGATGTGTTGGTACCATTCTTTATTCATGGCTGTGTTCTTAGGCAAAATTGTGAGTGAGCCCACTCCCTTGGCTGAGAAGCAACCCCACACATGAATGGTCTCAGGATGCTTTACTGTTGGCATGACACAGGACTGATGGTAGCGCTCACCTTGTCTTCTCCGGACAAGGTGTTTTCTGAATGCCCCAAACAATCGGAAAGGGGAGTCATCAGAGAAAATGACTTAACCTCAGTCCTCAGCAGTCCAATCCCTGTACCTTTTGCAGAATATCAGTCTGTCCCTGATGTTTTTCCTGGAGAGAAGTGGCTTCTTTGCTGCCCTTCTTGACACCAGGCCATCCTCCAAAGGTCTTCGCCTCACTGTGCGTGCAAATGCACTCACACCTGCCTGCTGCCATTCCTGAGCAAGCTCTGCACTGGTGGTGCCCCGATCCTGCAGCTGAATCAACTTTAGGAGACGGTCCTGGCGCTTGCTGGCTTTCTTTGGCACCCTGACGCCTTCTTGACAACAATTGAACCTCTCTCATTGAAGTTCTTGATGATCCGATAAATTGTTGATTTAGGTGCAATCTTACTAGCAGCAATATCCTTGCCTATGAAGCCCTTTTTGTGCAAAGCAATGTTGATGGCACGTGTTTCCTTGCAGGTAACCATGGTTAACAGAGGAAGAACAATGATTTCAAGCACCACCCTCCTTTTAGAGCTTCCAGTCTGTTATTCTAACTCAATCAACATGACAGAGTGATCTCCAGCCTTGTCCTCGTCAACACTCTCACCTGTGTTAACGAGAGAATCACTGACATGATGGCAGCTGGTCCTTTTGTGGCAGGGCTGAAATTCAATGGAAATGTTTTTTGGGGATTAAGTTCATTTTCATGGCAAAGAGGGACTTTGCAATTAATTGCAATTCATCTGATCACTCTTCATGACATTCTGGAGTATATGCAAATTGCCATCATCAAAACTGAGGCAGCAGACTTTGTGAAAATTAGTATTTGTGTCATTCTCAAAACGTTTGACCACGACTGTACTTCACCAGAGTCAGATGAACTTGTGGATAGCATTTTTATGTGTCTGTGTCCAGTATGAAGGAAGTTCGAGGTAGTTTCGCAAGGCAATGGAGGTCTATGGGTATCTGATCTGCTAGCACCCTTTCCATCGCCTCTGCTAACTCTTTAACCTGGCTTCCCCCCCTCCCCCTCTCTTTCCCCCTTCCTATCATGGCCCTCTGCCCCCCCCCCCGGTAGAAAATCCTGACGATGATCCCTTCGGAGGAGGAGAAGCAGAAGATCCAGGAGGCTCAGCTGGCCAACCCAGACGTCCCCCTGGGCTCAGCAGAACAGTTCCTCCTCACCCTGTCCTCCATCAGCGAACTGTCAGCTAGACTACAGCTCTGGGCCTTCAAGATGGATTACGAAGCTACAGAGAAGGTGGGTGTGTGGAGAGAGTGGGTGTGGACCATTATGAGACAAGGTCGTCTCTGGCAGACAGCAGAGAGACTGAGACAATTATGAGACAAGGTCGTCTCTGGCAGACAGCAGAGAGACTGAGACAATTATGAGACAAGGTCGTCTCTGGCAGACAGAGAGACTGAGACCCTTATGAGGCAAGGTGTCAGAGAGACAGATACCATTTTGAGACAAGGTCCTCTCTGGCAGAGACACAGAGACCAATATGAAACAAGGTCCTCAGAGAGACAGAGACCATTATGAGACAAGGTCTCAGAGAGACTGAGAAATTGTTCAGTCAAACATATGACTGTGAAGGGAAGTTCAAAGACAAAAAAATTGCATCCCAAATGGCACCCTATTCCCTATATAGTGCACTACTTTTGACCAGGGCCCATAGCGCTCTATATAGGGGATAGGGTGCCATTTGGGGTGCACAGAAACAGGGAATGGAAAACATGCCTGTACTCTGCTCCAGGAGCTGTGTTGTAAAGTTTACAGCCTTCCACAGGATGCTGTGTCTTTCATGTTTCTCTGTAAAGTTTACAGCCTTCCATAGGATGATGTGTCTTTCATGTTGTTCTGTTTAGTTTACAGCCTTCCACAGGATGCTGTGTCTTTCATGTTGCTCTGTAAAGTTTACAGCCTTCCACAGGATGCTGTGTCTTTCATGTTGCTCTGTAAAGTTTACAGCCTTCCACAGGATGCTGTGTCTTTCATGTTGCTCTGTAAAGTTTACAGCCTTCCACAGGATGCTGTGTCTTTCATGTTGTTCTGTTTAGTTTACAGCCTTCCACAGGATGATGTGTCTTTCATGTTGCTCTGTAAAGTTTACAGCCTTCCACAATATGCTGTGTCTTTCATGTTGCTCTGTAAAGTTGACAGCCTTCCACAGGAGAGACAGAATTCCCGACCGCAGGTTTCGGCATGGCAACGTTCCCGAGAGGCGCGGGATGTCGAAGTGTGATGTGCAGAGAGACACACACACACACACACCAAACACACACACACACACACACACACACACACACACCAAACACACACACACATACACACACACACACACACCAAACACACACACACATACACACACACACACACACACACCAAACACACACACACACCAAACACACACACACATACACACACCAAACACACACACACATACACACACCAAACACACACACACACACTTAGAGGAGAGCATAACATACCATGCGGTAACAAAGGGCCAGGTAATCAGAACCATGTGTGATAGTTACCAAAGCAGCCCGACACAAACCTTTAACCACCTTTTATGTGACCGTAAAGAACCACAAATGGACCACAGTGGGGAGTCAGTCAGTGCACCTGTTCCTGACTGGTTGACTAACAGGCCGCAGTCTCTAATAACGAAACACTGTCATCCTGAAACACCTTCATCTAGCTGTTGTGTGTGTGTGTGTGTGTGTGTGTGCGTGCCTGTGTGTGCCTGTGTGTGTGTGTGTGTGTGTGTGTGTGTGTGCGTGCCTGTGTGTGTGTGTGTGTGTGTGTGTGTGTGTGCGTGCCTGTGTGTGTGTGTGTGTGTGTGTGTGTGTGTGTGTGTGTGTGTGCATGCCTGTGTGTGTGTGTGTGTGTGTGTGTGCGTGCCTGTGTGTGTGTGTGTGTGTGTGTGTGCGTGCCTGTGTGTGTGTGTGTGTGTGTGTGTGTGTAGGAAGTAGCAGAGCCGCTGCAGGATGTGAAGGAGGGGATGGAGCAGCTGGAGAAGAACAAGACGCTCCGCTACATCCTGTCTACGCTGCTTGCTATAGGAAACTTCCTCAACGGCACCAACGTGAGTCTCTCTCTCTCTCTCACACACACACATACACACGTTCATCAGGAAGTGACGATGACAGTGTTTACCAACATTAAAGAAGGTCATTTAGAGCAGTATTTCCTGAAAGGTCACAGCCAGGTCAACCCGGTCATTTAGAGGTCAGCCAGGTCAACCCGGTCATTTAGAGGTCAGCCAGGTCAACCTGGTCATTTAGAGGTCAGCCAGGTCAACCCGGTCATTTAGAGGTCAGCCAGGTCAACCTGGTCATTTAGAGGTCAGCCAGGTCAACCTGGTCATTTAGAGGTCAACCAGGTCAACCCGGTCATTTAGAGGTCAACCAGGTCAACCCGGTCATTTAGAGGTCAGCCAGGTCAACCCGGTCATTTAGAGGTCAGCCAGGTCAACCCGGTCATCCACATCTCTTCATTGGTTACACTTCATAATAAAGTTAAATAGTTACTACAGCTATAGCTGACTAGTCTAGTTACTAGATGTACTACTAACTAGTGCTACTAACTAGTCTGTTACTAACTACCTGTATTGCCCTTCCCCCAGGCCAAAGGCTTTGAGCTGAGTTACCTGGAGAAGGTTCCTGAGGTGAAGGACACGGTTCATAAACAGTCTCTTCTGCACCACGCCTGTTCTATCGTGGTGGACAACTACCCTCAGAGCACTGACCTCTACTCTGAGATCGGAGCCATCACACGCTCTGCCAAGGTATGGGACACACCAACACACACACACACACACACACACACACACACACACACACACACACCAACTACCCTCAGAGCACTGACCTCTACTCTGAGATCGGAGCCATCACACGCTCTGCCAAGGTATGCTACACACACATTGATTGATTGATTGATTGATTCATTGATTTATCCATTGATTCATTAATTGATTGACTGATTAGTTGATTGATTCGCTAATTGCCTGACTGATTAATTCATTCATTAATTAATGGATTCATTAGGTTGTTGATTGATTGATTGATTGATTAATTGACCAACCGACCGCCCAACCGACCCGACAACTGACTGACTGACTGACTGACTGATTGATTGGTTGATCAATTAACCCTGTGTCTCTCAGGTGGACTTTGACCAGCTGCAGGACAACCTGACCATGATGGAGCGCCGCTGCAAAGCATCCTGGGACCATCTGAAGGTGATCGCCAAGCATGAGATGAAGGCCACCCTGAAACAGAAGATGTCTGACTTCTTGAAGGACTGTGCTGAGAGGATCATCATTCTGAAGATAGTCCACCGCAGGATCATCAACAGGTACACATGGACAGACAGGAAGGCATGCACTAACACAACACACACACACACACACACACACACACACACACACACACACACACACACACACACACACACACACACACACACACACACACTCACTCACTCACACCCCGCTGTAAGGGTCTGTACTATGTCCTATCTGAACAGTATACTGTCTCAGTCCTCCTATCTAAACAGTATACTGTCTCAGTCCTCCTATCTCAACAGTATACTGTCCCAGTCCTTCTATCTAAACAGTATACTGTCTCAGTCCTCTTATCTGAACAGTATACCGTCTCAGCCCTCCTATCTAAACAGTATACTGTCTCAGTCCTTCTATCTAAACAGTATACTGTCCCAGTCCTTCTATCTCAACAGTATACTGTCTCAGTCCTTCTATCTCAACAGTATACTGTCTCAGTCCTTCTATCTAAACAGTATACTGTCCCAGTCCTTCTATCTAAACAGTATACTGTCTCAGTCCTCCTATCTAAACAGTACTGTCTCAGTCCTCCTATCTAAACAGTATACTGTCTCAGTCCTTCTATCTAAACAGTATACTGTCTCAGTCCTTCTATCTAAACAGTATACTGTCTCAGTCCTTCTATCTAAACAGTATACTGTCTCAGTCCTCCTATCTAAACAGTATACTGTCTCAGTCCTTCTATCTAAACAGTATACTGTCTCAGTCCTTCTATCTAAACAGTATACTGTCTCAGTCCTTCTATCTAAACAGTATACTGTCTCAGTCCTTCTATCTAAACAGTATACTTTCCCAGTCCTTCTATCTAAACAGTATACTGTCTCAGTCCTTCTATCTAAACAGTACACTTTCCCAGTCAGTAGAGGGCGCATGTTAGTCATGTTACTGATGTATTGCATTTAAAAGGTAGTTCACTTTTTTGAAGTTCAGCATATTTTTGACCTCCCTAGGTTTTTTTGTTGTTGAAGAAAACAAATTCCAAACAGTTTTTAAATGTGTTTGCTGATAATTTAGCAACATTCAGGATGGCTTGCAATTTTTGGAGAAGCATCTAGCAATGCTAATTGGAAAATAATTGTATTAGCGAATTGTATTAGCAGTGCATTGAAAAGGGAGAGGCGGGTCACCACTGTGGAATGCAGAGCTCATACCCAATGCTTCTGAAAGTGATTGTTTGTTGTGGTGAAATGCACTGATGAACATGCCCATCCCTCTAGGTTCCATGCATTCCTGCTGTACTTGGGTCACCCGGCCTACGGTGTGAGGGAGATCAGTGTCCACCGGTTCAGTAAGATCCTCAGTGAGTTCGCTCTGGAGTACCGGACCACGCGGGACCGCGTCCTGCAACAGAAACAGAAACGAGCCGACCACCGCGAACGCAACAAGACCCGCGGCAAGATGATTATGGACGTCAATGCACCCGTGAGTACTGTACAGACACACACACACACACACACACACACACACACACACACACACACACACACACACACACACACACACACACACACACAGATCATGATCATGAACGTCATGCCACCCGTGAGTACTGTGAAGATTTATACACACACACACACACACACACACACACACACAATAGTGAAATCAAAGCACACGTGATCTTTGATGACACACACTACTTGTGCACTGTAACCCCCAGGGCTGTGTTGATCTCTGTACCCATACAGCCACTGTTTAGATGGGTCTCAGCATTCATCACGTTAGACCCCTAGGTTGCATCTGCAGCATTCATCACGTTAGACCCCTAGGTTGCATCTGCAGCATTCATCACGTTAGACCCCTAGGTTGCATCTGCAGCATTCATCACGTTAGACCCCTAGGTTGCATCTGCAGCATTCATCACGTTAGACCCCTAGGTTGCATCTGCAGCATTCATCACGTTAGACCCCTAGGTTGCATCTGTAGATGTTGATGTCTCAAGGCGCTCGTTGACTTTTCCAACCACATGCTCAACAGTCACACTGGGGGGAGTAGCTGCTGCTTTCGCAACAGCTACTGGGGATCCTAATAAAATACCAAATACCTCTTAGAAAAAAAAAGTGCTATCTAGAACCTAAAATGGTTATTAGGCTGTCCCCATAGTAGAACCCGTTGAAAAACCCTTTATGGTTCCAGGAAGAACCCTTTTGGTTCCAGGTAGAACCCATTTGGGTTCCATGAAGAACCCTTTCCACAGAGGGTTCTACCTGAAACCAAAAAGGGTTCTACCTGGAACCAAAAAATGGTTATCTTATGTGGACAGCCGAAGAACCCTTATGGAACCCTTTTATCTAAGAGTTTTAGTAAGAACAACCAGAGTTGTAAAACAGTTATAAATCACAGAATCGATACAATATTCAAGTCGTTGAGCTTAAAGCACTAGAGGGGAAACCATAGACAGAATGTATGACATCATAAGTGTGTCTGAAGACTCTAATTAAGGCTTATTCTCTAATCTTCATCAAAGTAGAAATTGCTGATAATTACAGTGTGTAATTGAGAACAAACGTTTGAGGAAAAGATGGAGGACGTCTGTGCGTGTGTGCATGGGTGTGTGAATTGAACCCTGCGTTTTAGAAGTTAAGGGTTACTGTCAGGGAAAGTCCAAAAGGGTCACTTATGGAGGTGCTCTTTTATTCCTTCGCTTATTCTTCTGTTCTCTCTTTGTCTTTCTCACTCTCTCCATCTCTCTATCTCTTTCGTTCTTCTCTTCTAATCTCTTCTTCGTTCTTTCCCCCCGTGTAGTCTGAAGAAGAAGAGGAAATGGAGGTATCGCAGTCAGTTTCTGTGTGTCTTTGCACATGCATGAAAGTGTGTCCACTGTCATGACACTCCCATTCATTGACCTTCCCCGTCTATTATTGTCTCTGTACCGTTTTCCTCTGTTAACTATGGTCTGTGTGTTGTAGTCATCTATCTAACACTGATAGTACTATTGTCGCCAAGCAACACCTGTGAAGCTAGTTTGACTCTGTACTGTTCGAGAGGTTTCATACAGAATAACAGTTGTGTGACATTTCTTTCTTTGTGTGTGGATTCTAACAGCCTCTCTCTGTCTCTCTCTGTCTCTCTCTCTCTCTCTCTCTCTCTCCTCCGCCCCAGTCTGCAGGGCAGTGTGTTAGCAGCAGCAGCAGTGCCCCTGGTGGCGGGTTGGAGAGCTTGCAGCCTCAGGGTTTGGGCCATGCTGAAGATGCTGCGGAGCATGAGTTCATGAAGGCAGTACTGAAGACCAGCCTGCAGGGCGGCGACAGAGAGACATCAGGGGTGCCGGGGCTACGCACACGTACCAGGTCACGGCCAGGCCGAGGAGGTGAGGGAGATCACACACACACAGGCAGGCAGGTACACATGATTATGTTGGTTAATCCTTGTTCTCTCTCGGTTAAACCTCTCTCTCTCTCTCTCTCTCTCTCTCTCTCTCCCTACCCCTCCCTCCCTCTCTCTCTCTCTCTCTCTCTCTCTCTCTCTCTCTCTCTCTCTCTCTCTCTCTCTCCCCTCCCTCTCTCTCTCTCTGCCTCCCTCTCTCCCTCCCTCCCTCCCTCTCTCTCCATCAGGTCGTGTACAACAGGTGCCGATACCCCCCGCGGCGGTTGGGGTGGAGTCTCAGAGGTCAGGTGATGATGAGGCTGATGAGATCATGGATCGCATCGTGAGGTCAGCCACTCAGGGCCCCAGTCAGAGAGCAGTGCCCCGGGAGAGGAGGAGGTCACGAGCCAACCGCAAATCACGTACGTCCTCACTTACTCACTCCAGGAACCAATCATAAGGCTGCACGACAAAACGCTTTTATTCTATCCTTACTCACTCCAGGAACCAATCATAAGGCTGCACGACAAAACGCTTTTATTCTATCCTTACTCACTCCAGGAACCAATCATAAGGCTGCACGACAAAACGCTTTTATTCTATCCTATATATATAGTAGTAGCGCTGGGCTAAACCAAAAGCCTGATCATTGTGTAACTCTCTAGGACCAGTATTATGATGCCTTTCTCTGTGTGTGTGTGTGTGTGTGTGTGTGTAGTAAGGCGGACTCTGAAGAGCGGTCTGACGCCAGAGGAGGCCCTACTCCTCGGGCTCTCCGACGCCTCCGAGATGCCGGTGTGACATCATCGCCCCCGCCACGGCTCACCCGTGATAACACGGGATTGGGAGTGCCATGGAAACACACCCTGGAACACCTCCGTGACCCCCATGTCACGCTCCTGCCTTCACCTCGCCCCGACCCCCAAACCCCCCCCCCCCGTCAGCCAATCGGGAGCCTTGTTAGTAGCTTCTGTTGTGCCGGTTGCGAATCACGCGTTAGCTTCATGTGTCTGTGGTTGATAATGGCGTCTTTGTTGAGGTGTGTCTTCGGAACGGGTGAGGGAATGAAGGAGAAAAAAAGAGAGAGAAGGGAGAGAACACGTTAGAAATGTATTTTGTGGAAAAAGAGGCAAGAGGCAACATGATGGAAGTTGGTTTAATGAGAATGAATCTTAAGGTTTTGTCATTTTCAACATGACTCTTGGAGAAAGATTAATCACGCTGATAGGTTGATTTTCAACATGCCTCTTGATTAGAGAGATTCATCGCGTTGATTGGTGGATTTCCAACATGCCTCTTGATTGGAGAAAGTTTCATCACGTTGATAAGTTGATTTTCAACATGCCTCTTGATTAGAGAGATTCATCGCGTTGATTGGTGGATTTCCAACATGCCTCTTGATTAGAGAGATTCATCACGTTGATAGGTCGATTTGTATTTATAGATTGTTGTTTATTTAACTGTTACAGCCCTATAGATAGGAAACAAACAAAGGGAGAATAGATGTTGCTTGCTGCAAGTACCTACAGTAGGCCTATAACTCTTTTGTATTAAAGCTGTGAACTTCAGGGTTTAAAGACAGAATAACGTTTGTCCATCCTCTGTCCGTAAAGATGGTGGTGGAGCAGACATTCTAAAGACTGACCATCATTCAATAACTATTATGCTGTTACTGTGTGATTCAATCGTTTCTTTCTAATTACATAACACTACTACACACTCTGCTTTTGTGCTCTAAATAGACAACAACAACAACAACAAGAACTGTCACAAGAAGCTTGTCAATAAGCCGTTTCTTCTCACTACTGTCTGCCATTGCTCTATATGTGTCAGAGCTGACATTTTTGAGTTTGTATATTTCTTATTAATTAGGAAGGCTGTGTGTTTGGTGTGTGCCTTTTGATTTACAGGTAGCCTACAGTACTCACTCCACTCCACTCCACTCCACTCCACTCCCATCTGAACTATCAACAGTGAGGGTAAAAAGTATTTGATCCCCTGCTGATTTTGTACGTTTGCCCACTGACAAAGACATGATCAGTCTATAATTTTAATGGTAGGTTTATTTCAACAGTGAGAGACAGAATAACAACAACAAAAAATCCAGAAAAACGCATGTCAAAAGTGTTATAAATTGATTTGCATTTTAATGAGGGAAATAAGTATTTGACCCCTCTGCAAAACATGACTTAGTACTTGGTGGCAAAACCCTTGTTGGCAATCACAGAGGTCAGACGTTTCTTGTAGTTGGCCACCAGGTTTGCACACATCTCAGGAGGGATTTTGTCCCACTCCTCTTTGCAGATCTTCTCCAAGTCATTAAGGTTTCGAGCCTGACGTTTGGCAACTCGAACCTTCAGCTCCCTCTACAGATTTTCAATGGGATTAAGGTCTGGAGACTGACTAGGCCACTCCAGGACCTTAATGTGCTTCTTCTTGAGCCACTCCTTTGTTGCCTTGGCCGTGTGTTTTGGGTCATTGTCATGCTGGAATACCCATCCACGACCCATTTTCAATGCCCTGGCTGAGGGAAGGAGGTTCTCACCCAAGATTTGACGGTACATGGCCCCGTCCATCGTCCCTTTGATGCGGTGAAGTTGTCCTGTCCCCTTAGCAGAAAAACACCCCCAAAGCATAATGTTCCCACCTCCATGTTTGACGGTGGGGATGGTGTTCTTGGGGTCATAGGCAGCATTCCTCCTCCTCCAAACACGGCGAGTTGAGTTGATGCCAAAGAGCTCGATTTTGGTCTCATCTGACCACAACACTTTCACCCAGTTCTCCTCTGAATCATTCAGATGTTCATTGGGCAAACTTCAGATGGGCATGTATATGTGCTTTCTTGAGCAGGGGGACCTTGCGGGCGCTGCAGGATTTCAGTCCTTCACGGCGTAGTGTGTTACCAATTGTTTTCTTGGTGACTATGGTCCCAGCTGCCTTGAGATCATTGACAAGATCCTCCCGTGTAGTTCTGGGCTGATTCCTCACCGTTCTCATGATCATTGCAACTTCACGAGGTGAGATCTTGCATGGAGCCCCAGGCCGAGGGAGATTGACAGTTATTTTGTGTTTCTTCCATTTGCGAATAATTGCACCAACTGTTGTCACCTTCTCACCAAGCTGCTTGCCGATGGTCTTGTAGCCCATTCCAGCCTTGTGTAGGTCTACAATCTTGTCCCTGACATCCTTGGAGAGTTCTTTGGTCTTGGCCATGGTGGAGAGTTTGGAATCTGATTGATTGATTGCTTCTGTGGACAGGTGTCTTTTATACAGGTAACAAGGTGAGATTAGGAGCACTCCCTTTAAGAGTGTGCTCCTAATCTCAGCTCGTTACCTGTATAAAAGACACCTGGGAGCCAGAAATCTTTCTGATTGAGAGGGGGTAAAATACTTATTTCCCTCATTAAAATGCAAATCAATTTATAACATTTTTGACATGCGTTTTTCTGTATTTTTGTTGTTGTTATTCTGTCTCTCACTGTTCAAATAAACCTACCATTAAAATTACAGACTGATCATTTCTTTGTCAGTGGGCAAACGTACAAAATCAGCAGGGGATCAAATACTTTTTTCCCTCACTGTATGTCACTGTGTTACATTATTTCTTATTAAGTTATAGTTTAAGGGACAGAAGATGTCTCATGAGGATTTTCATTGGTGTTGTGGTACTTTGTTTCTCTTCATTTTAACAAAAAGGGTTTTACTTCACTCTGTTATTGTTTAATTTATACCCCCTAAAAAAAATCTCAAATATTCACACCCTTTACCATAACAACCTGAGTGCATAATATGATTGACTGGATAGAGAACCAACCAACCCTGTTAGCCTTCTAAGCTAAAGCCTAGGTGTTACCTCTGGGAGCTAACACAAGTCTTCAGGTCTCAGACACGGCTACATCACTGGAGTATGGTTCATCGATAGGACATGTCCCATAAAACTGTCTTTTCTTTTAGGATCAGTCCCTTGGAAGAAGGATTCCACCGTTCCTGTGTGAAACTGTACAAGTCTGTAACTCGGTCTGTAACTCGGTCTGTAACTCGGTCTGTAACTCGGTCTGTATCTCAGTCTGTAACTCGGTCTGTATCTCGGTCTGTAACTCAGTCTGTAACTCGGTCTGTATCTCAGTCTGTAACTCGGTCTGTATCTCGGTCTGTAACTCAGTCTGTAACTCGGTCTGTATCTCAGTCTGTAACTCGGTCTGTAACTCGGTCTGTAACTCGGTCTGTAACTCAGTCTGTAACTCGGTCTGTAACTCGGTCTGTAACTCGGTCTGTAACTCAGTCTGTAACTCGGTCTGTAACTCGGTCTGTAACTCGGTCTGTAACTCGGTCTGTAACTCGGTCTGTAACTCGGTCTGTAACTCAGTCTGTAACTCGGTCTGTAACTCAGTCTGTATCTCGGTCTGTAACTCAGTCTGTAACTCGGTCTGTAACTCGGTCTGTAACTCGGTCTGTAACTCGGTCTGTAACTCAGTCTGTAACTCAGTATGTAAGGCGGCACCTTATTTCTCCGAAAATTGAAGCTTGACGTTGTTCTCTAGAAAAATAAGAAAATAAATAAGAATACTACGAAAAAAGAAAGCAACACATTTGATCTCAGAACTGTTTATATATAGAAGAAGAATAAATACGTTTAAAAGTATGTTGAAGGAAAAATGAAATGCAGAGGAAATCGGTATACAGTTTACAGCCGCTCCAGCTGGAGTCGTTTTATGTTTTACTGTGTTGTATGTTTTGTATTATTATTTGGGTAATTTCTGTATTATAGTCTGAGATAAAAAGAGAATAACTATTCCGTGAATTGTAATTTTAAAGGAATGAAAAAAATTATAATACTAAAAGCAATGCATGGTCACATAATGAGTATCTACTTGTGTTGCTTCTTGTAGAGGGAAAGTGGGGACACTTTGGACACTTCCCACTGGGCACAGACATCAATTCAACGTCAACTCCACGTTGGTTCAATGTAAGTTCATTGAAACGACGTAGAAACAACGTTGATTTAACCAGTGGGTTGTTTTAGACCCCTACTATTGTGCTTTGTTTTGCTGTTGGTTCTGTGGTTGTTACTTCAAATGGACTTGGATTTGGGGATATTTAAATTCATGTAACCAGTGAACTGGACACTAAAACCATGCTGTTGGATTTAATTTCTGTTTCACCTGAAACATTATGTATACACTCCCTGCAATAAAACAACATTGTTCAGTGAGTAATGGGTGCTTATATTTGTCCTGTTTCACATGTACAAGTGTGAAATGGAAATGTACAGTTTGGGGCGGCAGGTAGCTTAGTGGTTGAGAGCGTTGTGCCAGTAACCGAAAGGTTGCTGGTTCTAATCCCCGAGCCAATTAGGTGAAATTGTGCCCTTGAGCAAGGCACTTAACCCTAGTTGCTCTGGATAAGAGCGTCTGCTAATTGACCAATTTATTTATTTTATTTATATCCCAACTCCCCCTTGGAGAGTGGGGTCACAGCCATTATCAACGGCGACCCTAGCACAATTATGTTTAAGTGCCAAGGGACAGATTTGTTTTACCTTTTCGGCTCGGGGATTCGAACTAGCGACCTTTCGGTTACTGGCCCAACGTTCTAACCCCTAGGCTACCTCCCCTGTGTTTGGACGTGCATATATGTGTGTAGATTGTACTCCCGTGTAGCTCAGTTGGTAGAGCATGGCGCTTGCGACGCCAGGGTTGTGGGTTCGTTTCCTCACAGGGGGACCAGAATGAAAAAAATGTATGCACTCACTAACTGTAAGTCGCTCTGGATAAGAGCGTCTGCTAAAATTTAAATGTAGATGTATGCTGTAGCCTACATGATTCTGCGCATTCAGTTGTTGATATTAGACCAGCAAAACAGGATTGTCATGACTCACACATTAAGGTGATCGATAGGCTTAAGGAGATAGATGTACAGCGATATTTGCTGGATTGCTTATTTTATTCACAAGGATGAGATCAGCGTCGGTTGGGTTGGGGATGTTGCTGGTTAAACTGGGGAGAAATACATATCTTCAAGCAAATTGGCTGTGAACACTCCTACTGTTGTGTGTTCAAAACCACAAAGGAAGGTAGCCTAGTTCCCACCACAAAGGAAGGTAGCCTAGTTCCCACCACAAAGGAAGGTAGCCTAGTTCCCACCACAAAGGAAGGTAGCCTAGTTCCCACCACAAAGGAAGGTAGCCTAGTTCCCACCACAAAGGAAGGTAGCCTAGTTCCCACCACAAAGGAAGGTAGCCTAGTTCCCACCACAAAGGAAGGTAGCCTAGTTCCCACCACAAAGGAAGGTAGCCTAGTTCCCACCACAAAGGAAGGTAGCCTAGTTCCCTGCAGATGGCGCCGTGGATAAAGGAAGAATAGATTCAGAACTTCTCCCACACTAACCAGGTTTCCATTTAACCTTTTTAAGTGAGTAAAAGTACATATCGGATTTTAAAAAATATTGTAATGACCCAGCTGGGTCATAAAGTAAAAGAGAGACAGGCACCAGGTGTACAGGCAGAACACAGGTTTATTCCTGAATGGGCTATTGTTCAGGCCACAGCCCACGCCGCTAATCCAAGAACATACACAAATATAACATGTCAAATCAAGGGTCCCGAACAGAAGAGAGAGAGATGAGACCGTAACCCCTA